GTGACATCGAAAGGAATCCTGGGCCTATCCTGAGCAAGCCACAGCCCAGAGGCCCTTTGAACCTGGAGGATGGCTTTGCAGCCAGCACGGCTCACAAGATGACCAAGAGTTTCCGCGCTTTCTTAGTTTGGCTCCAAAACGAGGCTCAGTGCAACAGCGAGGCCGTCTTTTCGTCAGCTGAGGATACAGCCATGGCCTTGCGAGGATACGGCTTGCACCTGTACGAGACCGGCATGCCTCGCTACTTGCTGGTTTACGCTATCACGGCCGTTCAAGACAAGTTTCCTCAACACAGGAACTTTCTTACTGCCGCCTGGCAGGTTGACAAGAAATGGCAGCGTGCAGAGCCAGGCTCATGCAGGGCGGTTCTGCCTGTGGCGGCTATCCGCGCTAGTGTCAGCTTGTCGCTGCTCTGGGGCTGGTTCAGATGGTGCAGCCTTTTGATCATAGGCTTTCTGGCGATGTTGCACCCAGCCGAGTTGCTTCTCTTGGAGCGCCGCGACCTGGTTTTTCCTTCGGACACCTTGGGGCACACAGTCCTTGCTCGTTCACCTACGGAACCCCAAAACTTCAAGGTTCGCGAGGAGGCAACATGGTCGCATCGATGATTTACAGGCAATCAGTTTTCTGTTTTGCACTTTGGGTCACCTTAATCCTTCGGATAAAGTTTACCCCGGGTCCCTCTACAGCTTTCGTAAGCAATGGGATGCAGTGATGCAGCACTTGCAGCTGCCGCATCGGGCAGCCAACCGTGGGGCAACTCCTGGTGTGTTGCGTGGTTCAGGAGCCACCCATTTTTACATCAGCACGGAGAACATCCCTTTGCTCGCCTGGCGTGGAAGATGGGCCAAAACGAAGACTTTGGAGTTTTACCTCCAAGAGGTGGCCGCGCAAGTCTTGCTGACAGAGATCAGCCCCGCTGCCCGTTCCCGCATCAAGTCTCTGGATGAGTCCGCGGACAGCTTGCTTGCGCATTTTTCTGGTGCTTCGCAGTACTGAAGGAGTGGAAGAGCGTCTGTACATTCGCTTTAAAATCGGAAGCAGACGAACGAAGTTCGTAACCTCCAGCTAGTGTCGTCGAGGCTCTCCGACAAGCCTGGAGTCTTCTGCGGCTGCAAATGCAGCAAACTGGGCAGCTTCGAGTCAAGCAGGCGAAAGGAGGGAGATATATATATATATATGTATACATACACATGTGTCATAAACCTGGCATGACTGAACCTGGATGTCTCTAAATGGGGAAGGGAGGGAGGGACGGAGGGAGGGAAGGAAACGGAAGGGAAGGGAGAGAGGAAGGAAGGAAGGAAGGGGAAGGAAGCAGAGAGGGAGGGTCGGAGCGGAGGAACGGAAGGACAGAACAACGGAAGGACCACAAAGAAAGAACGATCGAGCCAAGATGAACAAGAAGAAAGCCTAGCATGCGGAAGGAAAGACAACCGACAACAGGAAACGAAAAGGACAGAGCCGCGACAAGAAGTGAACCGAAGACAGCAGAGTTTGTGTCTGTACGGAGGGTTTTTTGTTTCGGCACTCAGCTGATCGATCTCTTCAGCGTAAAGGGACACTCCTGCTTCTTTCCATTCATCGAAGCGTCTAAGGGTACGCACTAACGTCGGGGCACCGGCTCTCCTCTCCTTAGACCTTGCGAAAGAAAGAGACAGAAAATACAAAGGCTTTTGGCTTGTGGTCCCACGGAAAGGAACAAGAACGACAAACACCGAGAGGAGAGAAAACACGAAGTGTATGTTATGCGCATGCCCTGACAGATGCGAACCGACGAGGCGCAGATAGTTCTCTGGCGAGGCTGGTCGAGTCCCTCATACTGACAGTGTGGCTTGCTGCCTTCCTCGGTTGCAGGCAATCACACAGCCCGTCTTCCAAAACGGCGCAGGCATCGGCCAAACACATCAACTGTCAGTCGTCATCCTTTACATTAATACGACTGTGCCCGGAAAAGCTCCCGAGGTCAATGCGGCCTCGTGCACCTTCCCACCTTTTCTCCCTCCCTCCACATGTCCTTTGTCTCTCGATCCTCCGCTTCGATTGGAAGAGAGAAATCCGCATTTCTCATACTTGAGGATTGCAGGTGGCTGCATAGAGGAGTAGAAAGGATGACACCAAGCAAAGGTGCATGATTGTTGTTTCGTGCCCTATTGTTCTCGGGTCATAGAAAGCTAAGCAGCACCATGATTTGACATTCACTCCCACGCTACCGCATCAATTCCGATTCTGAGAAGGGTTTCCGCAAACATCAGCGAGAGCTGCAGCTGACACGACGATTGGAACCAGTGAAATTCAGGCAACAAAGCACATGCATTCAGGAAGCTATGTGCAAGGTGGAAAGTCACTCATGGTGGGCTTGTTCTATTGAGTCTCAAATCATTTACCAACCATCACTTGTAGAGCCTGTGCAAGCTCAGGGCCTGTATGGGGAGCGGTCACGATTCTGGATGAGTGTTGCCCAGCATCCGTTTGTGTGGAACACATCGCATGACTTGCCCACTGTTCCTTGTGAAGTGTCGGACATGCCCACCATTCCTGGGATCCATCCGTTGTCTGTACTGTGAAATCACTCTCTCTCCCTCTTTCTCTTTCTCTCTCTCCTGCTGGGCATCTCTGTCTTCCATTTTTCTTTTCTCCGAGTCTAACCTGCCTCCTTTGTCTGTTGCCTATTGTTCGACTCCAGCATCCGATGAGGCTCCGCTTCCCCTGCAGCTGGCCTCGCTACCGCAGCGGATCTTCTCTCCCCCACAGCAAGCTACCTTTGGGTTTTCGCCTGCCAACGTGCCCGTTGCCGGCATCCGGCCGGGGCCCAAAGTCCAGTTCAAGGTCAGTAGATTTTGTTTCTATCGCAAAGAACACGTCGTTGATGAGGCTGGCACCATCGCACCAACCGCCTAGAGCTGTTTAAGAGGCTGACCTCGTGACGACGGTGTTCATGTCTTGGCGTGCGTGGAGCTTTTCGTGGTGTGTTGCCGACAGACAGTCTCTGCCAGCAGGAAAGTGACAGGGGTTTTGCTGCATCTTGAATGTAGTGTGAAGTAGCTTTTCGTGCCTGTGCACGTCGTAGGATCTTATTGCTTCTGAAAGCATAGGACAGCTGACTGCTGACTCGCCAGAAGCAGGAAAAGGTTGTCCTTGCATGGCTTATCTGGCTGATGGCCGTAGTCCAGGGTGACGGTTGAAGCTTGGCACGCAGGAGTGTCCTGCGACTGAAATCACGCGATCCTGCACCAAATGGAACTACGAAGCAGCCTCAGGGGTTCAAGAACCCAAGCCACTGTGTGCAATTTTGGAGAGCACTCTCAGGTTTGCCTCGACTTCAACCAGCTTCCTTGGGCAGTCAACGAGGCCGGAGAGTCTCTGCAGGGCCAGCCATAAAGCGTGTACTTGAGGGCGTGGAAGGGGGGCAGGGGCGTGGCCCCAGCCAGCTTTTGAGCTCCCAGCAGTCGGTGCGTGCCTGCAGGGTTGTGCAAGCGGATGGATCCTGTAATGGATATTTCCACCGATCGATGAACATCCAAGTCGGTCCCCGGTCTTTCGTTAATCGGAGTCTGCAAGGAGCGCCCAATAACCAGGAAAACCACGATGAGTCGAAACACACGAACAGTCACGCAAGAGGTGAAAGCAGCACAAGTTTCGCATGTTTTGCTTTGTTTGCTCTTTTAGCTTTTCGTGTTTCTCGCGCTTGGTGTGTGTTTTCGCACTTTTCGAGCTGTTCGCGCTTTTCACGGCTTTCGTGCATGCTGGCACGACGACAACAACAACAACAACTACTACTACTACTACTCCTGCTGCTGCTGCTGCTTCTACTACTGCTATCACTACTGCTACCACTACTGCTACCACTACTACTACTGCTACTACTACTACTACTATTATTATTACTACTACTACTACTTCTACTACTGCTACTGCTACTATTACTACTACTTCTGCGGCTGCGGCTGCTGCTGCTGCTGCTACTACTCCTCCTACTACTACTACTACTATGACGACGACGACGACGACTACTACTACTACTACCTAC